GCTGTTTTCAGACAATAGTTTTGGGGTAATTTGTTACAAAAGCAACAAGAAACTAATATAGTAACTATGTCTAAGATACTTTTCTGGATTTCAGTTTGTCCTCATACCTGTCAATTACAGGTAGCTATTATTATTGTTGTGGCTGTTGCCTTGTTGAATCCTCCCACATATTTGAGGTTATTGTTATTGTTATCCCCCTTTTAAAGACAAGGTTCTGGGAGGTTGAGGTCTCGCCCTGCTGTAAATGGCAGAGCTGGGGACAAAGCCCAGGCAGCCTGACCCCCCAGCTCCCACTTTTCTCCCTGAACAAACTCCAAATGCAACGAACGTTTTTGAAATGAGGTTCACGTTGTGGACAGGGAAGCCTGAGACTTGGACCCTGATAAGGATACTTTGTAAGGGTATTGATATATGAATGACACTGGAAAAGCTTCTAAGAATTCAAATGAAATTTATGAAAGTGGATTGTTAGAGCCTTCATCTCTCACAGATACTCATTCTGCGCCTACACATCCCTTTGTGGGTGTGAGGTAAGTGATTTGAAGAAAAGTAAATCAGGGCAAGGAGCTAGGGAGCGGCAGAGGGGGTGATTTCAGATGGGACCCTCGGGGCTGGCTCTCACATGTGGTGTGATTGAAGGGGGGAGGGAGGCGTGTGGTTTCCTCGGGGGGAGAGCCTGACCGACTAGCGCACCAGCAGGTGCAAAGGCCCTGGGGCAGGGCCGTGCGTGGCACAGTTGGGGCAGGGCGGTGTGACAGGAGCATCCTAGGTGGAGAGGGAGGAAGGAAGGAAATGAAGGCAGGTTCTGCGGCCTGGATCTTGTAGGACTCTGGAGGCTATGTAGCACTGGACTTTATTTTGACTTGGGAAGCCATTGGAGAGTTTTGAGCAGAAGACAGACCGGTCTAATATAAGTTGGAATATGAGAGCGGAGTTTAAAGAGAGACTTGAGGTTCAGTGGAGCTCACGTGGGCCTCTGGCGCTGCCTGGCTTCTCCTGCCTGAGGCTGGCTGAGGTTTGTTGATATTTCCCAGGAGATAGAGAAGTGTCTCCTGCCAAAGTAGAAACAGCTCAGGGCGGCTCGAGGATCCTGCCAGAGCTCATCCCCCGCCAGGCTGGAGGATTTGTGCTACTGCTGCTCAGAAACGGTGGCCGAAGGGCTTATCGTTCTTCTGTCCAAACTGCATTATTCAAATGATGTTGAACTTGCCGGTATGAATTCCGACTTGTAGAGAACTCTACCTTAATTAGAAGGTGCTCCCTCAGCCCTCCTTGCTGCCTTGAGAGTTTTTCCATCTGACAGTATTTTAGACGTGGGATTGTGCTCGTAAATATTTCTTCCCTCACTCGGACGGTTGTTCACGCAGCTTAATTTGACGCCAACAAATTTGCACCTGTTGATAGTGTTTTTGCGTGTTCAATTTGCAGGAGTAGAGAGAGGTGCCTAAAAGGAGTTGGTCTCACGCACTTTCAAAACCTCTGAGCTTTCTTTGTGTTGCACACACATGATTATTTTTTCATGGAACCTAACTGATTTGAAAGTCTTGTGGACCTCTGTCTTGAATTAGGGGTTGGAAGGGCATAATAGCTGGTCTATAATACACAGTAATTAAAATTGGGGTTTTGAAATAAGGGGATTCCTCTCTCACCTGCTCTTTTGTCTCTTGAACTATATTTGAAGGGAGCAAAATGTTGTTTCCTAATAAATTAAGCGATTCTTAACAAAATTGGAGAGTTTTTTAAAAAGGAAACTTACGGCATTTAACAGTTATCATCTCCACCCTCTTTCCCTTCCCCCGGCACAGAAACACACACCACACACACAGACACCACACCTCCCTACGCTGTACACACATACAGCACACACTCCCCCATACCCCACACCACACACTCTCACACACGCCCAGACAACACACACACACACACACACACACACACACACACACACACACACACACACAGAGCATCTCTGCTTCCTGAGGGCCCTGCCCTACACCTGGCGGCCAACCTGCCCCCATTTCAGCATTCCTTACTTCCTCAGGCTCCACAACACAGTGTATGCAGCCTCTACCCAAGTACTCCCTTCCCGCTCCAAGTAGCGTTCCTCAGGAATACCAGACACCATTCCTATAACATTCCCGCAGGCCTTCAGAGCACTCTTGTGCTTCTAACACCAGCTGGATCCCAGGCCCTGTCTTTCACTGGGTTGCACCTTCTGCACTGATAACACTTTTCTAAGCCTGCTTCCGTATCTGAAAGTAGGAATAATAATAATAACAACAATGATAATAATACCCACGTGTAGGCTGGTTGTACGTTAGATGAGCCAATACATACATAGTTCCTGGACATAGTAACCATTCAGTAAATTTTACCTCCTGTTTCAAGAGGCTACTCATTCTGATAGGTTATTTACAGTTTTTATAATTGGTGGCAATAATTAGAATCCTTTACATTTGCGTGGAATTTTGCCATAAGAAACTTCCATGATTAGTCTCCGCGTAGAAAACGTAGCAAACTATTTAACATGTGGAGAGAATATGAACTCACTACTAATCTTATCCTTCAAAAACAATAATTGTGTATATTTTGGTATATTTTTTCAGTGTTTATATATTATATAGGTTAAGATCATTAATTATAAGAATATAGCTTCCCTGGTGGCGCAGTGGTTGGGAGTCCGCCTGCCGATGCAAGGGACGCAGGTTCGTGCCCCGGTCTGGGAAGATCCCACGTGCCGCGGAGCGGCTGGGCCCGTGAGCCATGGCCGCTGAGCCTGCGCGTCCAGAGCCTGTGCTCCGCAACGGGAGAGGCCACAGCAGTGGGAGG